TCCCGACGATCTGATAAACTTATCTATCAATACATGGCCATGCACTTTTACTTTAATCGTTACATAAAGAAACACAAGACTCTTGGCGCTCAACTTCAGCAATTTATTAATGATGTTATTCGTGTGTATCCTGGACCACCGGAGTTGGGAGTAGAGGGACTTACACTGACTGAGATCAATCTTCCAACGCCTGAGAGTGAGAACATCGAACATCTTATACCAATCCCTCGAACTCCTAAACGAAGCAAACAAGAACCTCTCAGCGAAATTGAAGATGAAATTGAAGATATGGATGATCCTGAATGGGGACCTGGTGATTTCTAATTATTTAACTATTTATTTGATTTTCTTATTACATTTTAATTCAAAAAATAAACCATTTATGCATTTTTATACATAAGTCTAATTTTTCATATATCTCTTAAACTATTGATCTGGGGCACTTGTAGACCATTGGAAACAGTTTTAATACACTTTCTAGAGGCTAATTGATCGATTTAGGTCGTTAGATAAGGGGGAGTCGATAAGTGTATTTGTCCCTTTGTGGTGATCATGGTTATTGAATGATGTACATCAATAAAGCACAGTATTTTTGTCGTTGTGATTATCTCATTTCTATTAGGATGTATGAAATCAGCTTGAGAACCCTGGTTGTTTTTGATTGGTTATTTCATTTCATTCATTTCTCCATTATTATCTTCGATTGTTTTCATTTTACTATCCGAAGCTTACAAGTGTTATGTCGTGACATCTATATGCATGTGTATTGTTCATCTTTTATCTTTTCTTTCGTTTATTGATTCTTTCTTTGATATTACTTATATATATATGCGTGCGATATTACGTACCGGTGGTGATTCTTTAAGTTTAGGAAATAAATCAACGTTTATGTTCTATACTATTCGAACCTGTTTGTCCTTAAAGAAAATTAGGACATGACAACAAGAAAGAGTTTCAGACAGTCATCCACCGACCAACGGCGGCGGAACGATTTCAATCTAGGGGAGGCTCAAAATTTTTTTCAGAGGATGAGGATGATGAGAGGT